GTTTTATTGTGGACAAGTGTCTCAGATACAACTGACCAATTCATATTATCAGGACCAACTCTGCCCTTTATTTAAAAACCAGCTGCCATCAAGTAGATTCTGACTCTGGGGGACCCCATGCGTGTCAGAGTAGAACTGTGCTCCATAAGGTTTTCAATGGCTGATTTTTCAGAAGTAGATCACCAGGCCTTTCTTCTGAGGAACCTCTGGGTGGACCCGACTACCAATCTTTCAATTAGCAGTAATAACATTAACCATTTGCACCACCCAGGCCCTTTTTTCTGTCTTTAGGGCCACTCTGCCTCTTTATTTCAGGCTGTTTTCTTGGTTATCGCATAGACCCAGCAATTCCCAAGGCAAGCTTCCAGTATTTAGTACTGTTTCCAGAAATGCCATGACATTTTCAGAATAAAATGAACCTTGATTAATTTTAATTTAAAATACACAGTTCCTTGACACAGATTGAAGGAGACTAAAGAGACGTAACTAAATGTGATGTGGGATCCTGGATTAGATCCTGAAACAATAAAAGAACATGAGCAGAAAAACTGGTGAATTTTAGTCTTTTTTAGTAATAGTACTATACCAGTATTATTTCCCTGTCATTGTACTATATTTATGTAAGATGTGAACATCAGGGAAGCTAGGTGAAGAGTATGTGGGAATTCTTGCAATTTTTCTTTAAATCTAAAATTATTTCAAAATTAAAAAGCTTTTCTTTTTTTAATATACATTGTTTTAAATTGTTTGGGAATTATGGCTTTGTCCCTTCTTGAGGCTCTCTGAGACAATGAAGATGACACAGGATGCATCGGCATCCTGACTGTCCACAGCAGCCAGTCATGAGAATTGGTTCACTTGTGCGTCATTCTAACATTGTCAGTCCGATGCGAGCTTGGTAAGGTCCATGGAAGGCAGCAGGATCTCATGGTAAGAGTAATGGATTTGGATTTGGACGGTCGTGGGTTTCAGTTCCTCTTCTACAACTCCCCAGTGATTTCAGTTTGGGCAGCCAACTGGACCTTTCCAAGTCTCAGTTTTTTCATCAGAATATTGGGGAGTATACCACCAGACTGAGCCCAGCACAGCTAGATGGTGCCCAGCTACCACCACCGACTGTTGTGACAGGGATCATAATAGAGGGTCCTGGACAGAGCTGGATTAAAATGTAGAACAAAATTCTAACTGACGAAAAAAGACCAGACTTACCGGTCTAACAGAGACTGGAGAAACCCCAAGAGTATGGCTCCTGGACACCCTTTTAACACAGTACTGAAGTCACTCCTGAGGTTCACCTTTCAGCCAAAGATTAGACAGGCCTATAAAACAAAACGAGACTAAATGGACACACCACCCCAGGGGCAAAGAAGGGCAAGGCAGGAGGGGACAGGAAAGCTGGTAATGGGGAACCAAAGGTCCAGAAGGGGAGAGTGTTGACATGTCATGGGTTTGGCAACCAATGTCACAAAACAGTATGTGTTTTAATTGTTTAATGAGAAACTAACTTGCTCTGTAACCCTTCATCTAAAGTACAATAAAAAATAAGAAACAAAGAATTTTGGAAAGTGTAATACCCACCCCATAGGTGATTGTAAGGATTAAATGAGATTTATGGATGTGAATGCTGGTCATAAACTTTAAGGCAGTATGCGAAATGTTGATTTTTATTAATATCCTAACAAATTACTTGAAGAAAAGAGATTCTCCAATTTTAGGATTTATACATTAGGTTGGCTCTCCTGAGCTGATTTTTCCCTACATTAATTGTATTGCTGCATTAAGTGCAATCAGATCCATAGGTGATGTATCTGCAGTTATGATATTTTGAATCTTTTATCATTAACAGTCAGTTTGAATCTAAACCAATATAACAAAGAAGCATAAAGCAGTAAGCTAACCATTATACTGTATTTAATACAGAGATTTTTACATGTACATTATTTGGGCTTATTTAAGCTAATGTCTAGCCCTCCTCCATTGGAAGTCATAATACTAGGAAGAGAATTTCAAATATGATAGCCCCAAATTTTTCAGTTTTCCTGAAATTTAAATCCAGAGCCATCGATGGAATCCATGGAGCTAATTTTAAGAGACACTTTAGAGGGATACTATGTCGAGTCTACCAATTATATGAGCCATAACCCTGTAGTTTTTTTCTGAAAATAAATTATTCTATAGCTAATCTAAAATATCCAAGTTCAGTCAAGGTATTTATTAAGTAGTACTGCCAGTAAGTGATATTTTCCTCATTTTACATCTGAGAAATCTAAAGTTGATTCTAAGTCCATGTTTCAGGTGGTTAAATGCTCTGATTCTGTGCCTGGTGAAAGGCCGCTGTGTGTCTTCAACCAGATCTTAATTATCCTTTCTACTGTGTCTTCTGTTGATTTAACTACTTCACTAAAGCAGCTGTGCATAGAAACCAATCAGGTTCTTTTTCAAAAATCCCAGTCTAAAACCAAGACCAAAAAACATCAAAGAAAGATTTTCTAAGAGCTGCTTATCAGTAGTTCTCAAATACCTTTGAATAGAGAAATAACAAAAGATCTAATTGTTGTTGAATTTGTAAAATACATGAGTAAAATCTATTATGTTCAACTTAGTAAAAATTAGTTTATTAATAGGAATAGATGGAAACTCCCTTACCGTGGTAAATGTATATGTTTATGTGTGTGTCTCAATTTATTGATGAAACAGCAACCTCATTAGAGTTAAGAATAAGACAAGAATGCCTATTATTAATGTTATTTTTAATTATTGTTCTAGAGATACTAGACAACTCAATCAGCAAAGAAAGAATCTAATTGTAAAGGAGGAATTAAAATAATAATTACCCTATCTAAAAAGATGATAATTTAAGACAGATAGCTACAGGGTATTTATGAAATATTTAATAATCCTAGTGGTAATTTATCCTCACTAATTCAGTACTATCCAGAAAAAAACAGGGTTTTCAACCAAGTCTTTCAAATAAGAATCAAATTTGAAAACTCCTTATGAATCTTTACAAACAATAAGGGAACATTTCCCTTAAGAATAGTTTGTTTTTTCCTTCTCTGTTTATAATTAAAAATTTTATTTTATTCTCTTTAGTAAGTAATCTGTGCACATACTACAAAATATGACAGGTATTATAACCAAGTATTCAGTTAGTCTCCGCCCACCCCGGTCGAAAGTAATCACTGGTACCAGTTTTCGATGTGTCCTTCCAGAGACTTTTTAGGCATAAACAAAGCTAACTTCTCTCTGAGTGGACAGTATCATGCCACATATACTGTTCTGTACCTTGTTTTTGTTTGTTTGTTTTTACTTAGCAATATTATGGAAACTGGGCTAAGTCAGCACATATAGGTCTACAACATTCTTTTTAACAGCTGCAAAATATTAGATTATGGTGATATACCACAATTTAACCAATTATATATTTGTAGGTTGCTTCCTACTTTTTACTATTTACAAGCAAGGCTGCAATGAAGAGCCTAGTACATATATGTATTTGAGTATACATACAAGTACATCTGAAAGATAAATTCCTAAACGTGGGATTGCTGGATCAATGGGAAAGTCCCTGTATAATATTGCTGAATTACTCTCATGGAGGCTGACAATTATGCTAATTGCAATTTCCCTAATAAAGTGTAAGAATGCTTTCTCCTCTCAAGCAAGAAGTTTTTTGTTTTTACGTAGATGAATTTACCAGTCCTTTTTTTTTTTTTCCCCCCTGAGCCTCTAGGTTATATTTAGAAAGCCCTTTTCCACTTTGAGATTATTTTTTAACTCCTCAATATATTCTTTTAATACTTTCATAATTTCATCTTTCTTGTTTAAATCTTCGACACAGCTGGGATATATTTTGGTAAAAAGAGTAAGGCTGTCTTAAATTTTTTTCCAGTTGGTTAGTTAATTGTCCCAGTATTATTACTGAGTAATCTATCTTTCTCCCAGTGATGGGAAATGTCAGCATTATTACATATTAAATATTTATGTGAATTTGGGCTGTACTTCAACTCTCTTGTATGTGCCAGGATGAGCTTGATTATGTCGTGCTAACAAACAACCTCAAAATCTTGTTGGTTTATAACAACAAGAATTTTCTTCCTTTTGGTACATGTCCATCAGGGATTGGTTGGGGGATCTGCTCTGTGTCTCCTCACTTGGTAACTTAGACTAAAGGAGCTGCCACCATCTTGAGCATATCCAGTTTCCTTCCCTGTAGGTTCTCACACCATCAGTAAAATGTTCAACCTAGAAGTTCCCTTCTGATGAGTATTAGTCACATGACTTCACTACTACAAGGGGACCAGGAAGTCATATATGGCCCAGAAGATGGACAGCTGAAACTACTTGGCAACAGCAACTATGGCTAACTACCACATCTCCGTTCTATACTGTTACTCTGTCAATTTATGTGTCAGTAACACAAGTTTTTCTTTTTCTGAAATTTTTTGGCTATTGTTTTCATTTTTTCTGTTGAACTGGAATTAACTTCTCCAGCCCACTCTCCTTTTTCCAGAAAAAGACAAACCCTATTAGTATTTTTTTATTGTGTCTATGTTAAATTTATAGATTTAAAGAAAACTGATACCTTTATAATATTGATTTTTCACAACCAAGAGGATATATCTTTTCAGTTATTCATATCTCCTTTTGTATCTTTCATATCCTTTTCTTAATAGAGATTGTGAATATTTATTAGTATTCTTTTTGTTGTTCTTTTAAGTGGAATTCTTTATTTTACTATCTGCAAATAATGATGATTTTAATTCTTCCTTTATAATCAACTTGATGTTCTTGAAGGAACAGAAAAGATATAACCGTTTCTCAAATAATGTATCTATTATCCAATCAGAAGATTTTGAAATTTCATTTTGAAGATTTTTCTTTTCATGATTCCCAGTGAATGAGGAGATTCACATTACAGCAATAATAAGTACTGTTTACTCCAGCAATTGGAAGCACTTAAAAAATTTTAAGAATTGTATTTGTTTTGTGCTCTGCAGGTGTCTATTATGCCCACCTGTACAAGAACCAGGACGTGGGTGATGAGCCATTAATGTAGGGTAAAATCTGGCTCTAAAGAAGGAGGCTCACTGGCCCATTCACCAAACTTAAGAGATGTTGAGAATTAAACATCCACAGGTAATCAGAGTATGGTTTTGAGTGACATACACATTGCTGTATTATTGCATTTTGATTTCCTCCTTGCAAGCAGAAAACATGCTGCTATGTTGGGGGTAAACATGAGCTTTTCTCTAAAATTCAGCAGGTATTGAGCCCTGGTGGCATAGTGGTTAAGAGTTCGGCTGCTAACCAAAAGGTTGGCAGTTCGAATCTACCAGCTGCTTCTTGGAAACCCTATGGGGCAGTTCTACTCTGTCCTATACGGTTGTATGAGTCAGAATCGACTCGACGGCAATGGGTTTGGTGTTTTTGGTTACACCTAGACTTTATTTCATGTTGAAGGGAACTGCCTATGCCTCTTATTTCTTTTTATTGCCTTTGTATAATTATGAAGTTTAACTTGAGAGTATTTTTCTCCTCTGTATTTTGTCTTCCATTTTGTCCTCCTTTTATCTCAGCATTACGGTGTTCTTTTTCTTACATCCTGTGCTCTTAAGAGTTCTGCTCTGAGTTAATCACAGGACCATGAATTAAATAGTTAGAAGTCAATAGTTAAATGTTAATAAGCAGATTCTTTGTAAAATTGTAATGCGTATGCGGCCTTGCCTGGGATAGGTCAGAAGGGAATACAAGGCATCAAATTTTAATCCCTCACCATCATCAAAGTGAAGTCTCATAAAGATCTCATGGAAATTGTTAAGATGGTATATGTTTTGTTATGTATATTTTACCACAATAAAATTTTTAAAAATCTGATAGAATGATTTAAATTGAAAATGGAGACCTCATCAGTACATGAAAATGGAGGAAAAGTCTTTATGGCGCTTACATAAAGAATAATTACTAGAAATATAGCAGAGTAAAAATAGATCAACCAAAGTAACAAACATCTAAAATAAAAAGTATTCAAGAAGACAAACTTGAATTATGATAAACAGATTAGAGATAGCACTTCAGACTTGGTTTTAAAACTTTGGCAACACCAGCAAATAGAAAAGCTGTGCACAAACCAGAGAAAACAATGGTAACAAAAGAAACAGAAAAAAACCCAAACCACAGAAGGAATGGAATTGCCAATAATGAGTAAAGGATAAAAGACACAAAGACTATTAAAAGGAACTGGTTAGAATAAAAAGAAAGAACTGAAGCACTGTGATAAAAGGTATAAAAAAATTTACAACATTCCTTAAGGAAAAAAATGGAATCAAAATAATGAGGCTGTCAGTAAAATTGACGCTAAATGGAGAGATCAAGATGAAAATACAGAGAGAATAGACAAAGAGATTATAATGGTTCCAATAGACCTATCTTTTTGTTCCTGCAACTCTTCTCTGAATAATGATTTTGGTGGCAGTTGCTGCAAATAAGAGGAAGGCTCAGTAAAGGAAGAATTCTAGAACTTAGTGTAGAGAAAAATAGACTTGCCAATAGATTGGGAGCTTAGTTACCAGATTTTGCACTTAAAGACAGTATACCCAAATACACTGGAAAGAAGGAAGAAGGAAAAACTGTGCTTTGGAAAATAAAACATAAGAATGACCTCAGATTTTGCAACTCAAACAATAAAGAGAGGAGGCACTTAGAAAAATATTTACAGAATACTGGCCAATTATCTTGCCTAGTTGTCTGCCTTTTAAAGATGAAAGACTTTGGAACTCTGTAATCTTAGAAGAATTTCAAATAGCCAAGTACCAGAGAGGAATATAAAAGACAGGGAATGCAGAGGAAGACTTTTGAAATATAAATGGTAGAGACTGCAGCAGTTTGAGGAGGTGGGGTAGTGGTATCATCCAGCAGTATCTGCTTAGCTGCTCAGGTACAAAATCTCTCAGCTCAGAATCTCCACCTGAGGTGCTGCGTTCTGGAATCTGGGCCTCCATACATCCAGAAATGCAAACTTGCTCAAGAATGACCAGATACTAGGAAAATCTTCCTAACTAATGCTCACAAGACTGCCAACTTATATATTCGTGATAAGAAATAAAATTTACAAGTGAATGCAAATGTAGAATAGAGTAAAATACACTTCTTTCCTTTAGGCAAGTCGCGTGGGGATAGCAAAATTAAGATCAGTGTATAACTTTGGTGAATTTAGAGTTAGAATATAAGTGGTCTTAAAGGAGCCCTGGTGGCGCAGTGGTTAAGCACTTGGCCACTAACCGAAAGGTCAGAGGTTCGAACCCACCAGCCACTCTGCAGGAGAAAAGACCTGGCAATCTGCTCTGATAAAGATTCAGCCTAGGAAAACCTATGGAGCAGTTCTACTCTGTCCTGTAGGGTCCCTATGAGTCAGAATCACCTCGATAGTACACAAACAGCAACAACAAGTGATCTTAAGAAGTATTAGTCTGTTAAACTTCAGGTGTTCTTCCCTGGGATAAGGGTACTTTTTGGGTGTCCTAACTGTTTGACATTCATTGGCGCACTCTGAATGCAACAGGAAATGTATGCTTAATTCTATACATGCAATCTGTACTTCTATACAGATGGACTTCTGTTAACACTTTCTGCCGTTAACTTTTTTAATACCATTATCTCTGCCAGCTTTTATGTGCAGATGTAGACAAATATTGATCAAATACGATGGTAATTTTTTTATTTAAAAAGTTATATTTTGAGATATGATACCAAGAGCATGAGTAAGAAACACCAAATAGATAAATTGGACCTCATCAAGATGAAAAACTTTTGTGCATCAAAGGACTTTCTCAACAAAGTAAAGAGACAGCTTACAGAATGGGAGAAAATATTTGGAAACCATATATCTGATAAGAGTTTCATGTCCAGAATATAAAAAGAACTCCTACAACTCAACAACAACAACAAAAAAACCCAATTAAAATATAGGCAAAGAAATTCTAGGAAGATGGTGGCATAAACAGACCATAGTTCTGACCCTGCTCCACAAATACAACAAGAAATACAAGGAAACGGTGCTTAGCTTTGAAGGATTCTGAATTGGGGAGCAGAGGAAAGCAGTGGGAAACTGCAGACAGGCAAGAATCAACAACAAGTAGCCTGCGGTAGGAAAATTGCTTCTCCCACCATCCTTGCCCCTCCCCCCAGCCGTGCGGGCTGCCGGCTGTTGTGAACTGGAGAAGTGACCCCAGAGAAAGAGCCCACTTCCCTAACTACCATAGCCCCTACCTGTACAAAAAAGACAAGACCCCAAGCTTTTGCTCTAAAATCAACAAGGCAGACTTCCCTGGGGGTCCATTTGGAGTGTGCCAGCACCTCCCCCACTCAGACACTGTTGGCTGCAAGCCTACTGCAAATTGCTGCAAAAGGCTCATGCAGTGGAATCTGCTCTCATAGTCAACACTCTTCCTGCCTCCCTGCATACCCCATAGCTCAGACCTCTGAAACCAAAGCACAGACTTCTCTGGGGGTCAGTTAGGGTTAGCCTGCCCCACTTCTGGTTGGCACTGAGGACTGCTGACTGAGGCTGCTTTGTGCTAGGAAGTAGACATCTTTAGTGAAAGCTACACCCACAGCCAACATACTGCAGGGCAGGCTTTGACAGCAACAAGGCAGACGTCCCTGGAGGTCCATTTGGAGTGGGACAACCCCTCCCCCAACTAGTAACTGTTGGCTTCTGGACTGGTACAAACTTCTATAGAAGGTTCCCTATAGTGGAGTCAGGAGGTGGGTCACATAAGTGGAGACTGCTCCCTCAACCACCACAGGGCTACTGGGGCTCTGAAACCAGCAAGACAAATCTCTCAGAAGTCCTTCTGGGTCCTTCCTCCTCCTGAAACAGGAGAAAATCGGCCTGTGCTTCCCCTGAATGCCAACTCAGATATAAGCAGCCCCCACAGAGCAGGGAAAGAAGCCTCAGGCAAAACCAAAGGGCAACATACAGCCTCATTAATTGTGTGTTTTCCAACTAAAAACATGGTCTCAGAAACAGAGAAGAGAAGGGAGAAATAACTAGAGAGAGCAGACTGTACCCCCCATTGGACAGATTGTTTGGTACATGATATTGCTCCTGAGTGGTGGTGCTCGCTCATGGATAGACTGACCACAGCTTGTTCTCTGGTGTGGTTGGGAGAGATTGAAAGCTGAAAACTGAGATCTGGAACTTTCGAATTAAACCAGGGAAGGAGAAGGAGTTATCACAGAGAGAGAAAACAGTAAGCAAAGGCCAAAGGCTCTGCCCACCTAAGAGTTGTTTGCAGAAAGTAGTGCAGGCGAAAACACCAAATACTAGGAAAAACTGAGAAAGTGAACACCCTCAAAAATTCAGATGCTCCAACAAAAAATCACAAGACACACAAAGAACAGAGAAACAATGGCCCACCCTAAATGAACACAACAGAGGCAGTGAAACACATCTAGGGATGACCAAATCATAAAAAAAGGAAGAATATAATACAACAACATTAACCATAATTAAAGAACTAAGGGAAAACACAGACAAAGAGTTAAAAGAAATAAGGAAAACAACAGAAGAACAAAGTGAGGATCTTAAAAAAAGAGATTGCAACTGAAAGGGACAATAACTGAAATGAGAAATGTAATAGTATTTACCAACAGATTTAATCAGGTGGAAGAAAGAATCAGCAGATTAGAGGATAGGGTAGTCAAAATTACTGATGGTAAAGAGCAGCAAGGACCAAGGCTCAAGAAGGCTGAGCACAGCTTAATGGAATTATGGGACAGCAACAAGAAACCTAATACACACATTTTGGGAATTCCAGAAGGAGATGACAGAGAGAAAGGGACAGAAGGAATATTTGAAGAAATAATGACAGAAAATTTCCCGAATCTAACAAAGGACTTGAACCCACAAATCCAAGAAGCTCAAAGAACCCCTAAACTGGACAAACCCAAAGAGATCTACACCAAGACACATTATAGTTAGGTTCCAAAAAAGTAAAGATAAAGAGAGAATCCTGAAAGCAATGAGAGAGAAGCAAACAGTCACATACAAAGGATCTTCAATAAGATTAAATACCAGTTTCTCCTCAGAAACCCTGGAGGCCAAAAGACAATGGAATGATATATTTAAAGTGCTG